AGAAACAAAGTGTAATTTGAACAAAAGAATAAAATAAAAAATAAGATTTTTTTTCTCAATTCAATTCAAAAAAAAAATTGTGAAGAGAAAAGTGAATAAAACTGAATTTTTTCCTTGAAAATGGTATTTAAAGGAAAAACTTTGTATACGTATCACAAATCTCAATTTTATCATTTTCATTTTATTGTTTGTATTGCACATTTTTTAAATTTTGTTGTTGTTTGAAATAAACCGGATTTTTTTTGAGCGTAGTCAGGTAGCCGTTTTTTGATCCCTGAAATATATGTTTTTTAATAATAGTAATAGTAATAGTAATAGCAAATTTATCGATTTATAAATGGGTTACAAGGGTGGGTTAAGCATTACAAGTGACTGGCTAGCCTTATAAACTTTGGGATTAAAAATAACTGTAATTAATTAAATTAATTAATAAATAATATATAAGAAATGACGAAACTCCGATGATCCTTTTGATCCTTTTAGTCATCCAATAAATGGAGATGTTATAAAGAATATGGCCTTTATAAAAACGAAGAAAGAAGTTGTTGATATGGAAGATGTTGAATAGGATTTAAAAGTACGTGTAACAATAAATGCATAGAATGACAGATTAAGCTAGATAATAGTATAGTTTGTTATTGTTATTGTTTTAAAACAAGATTTTAATTTTTTAAATAATTCGCCAACAAATAATTTCAAACTTGTCATCATCAATCATATTTTTTCCTGATTTAATTTTACAATGATATCTGAAATTTCTGAAAATATAATTGTAGTTGACTGTTTCCTTTCCTTTTAAAGTTTGAACGGCTCATTGAATGAATGAAACGAAAAAGGCAAACTTTATGAACAACTATCCTTCTTTATAGAGTGGGATGGAAAATTGGATTGGATATGACGGCACAAGATTTTTATCTATATTTGAAATTAAATAAATATTTCCAACTAAAAATAAATCTCAAAAGCTTTATCGTTATCAACTAACGCTATTTACTATTAGTAAATGTTTATAAATTATGGATTAAATCCAATAAAGCAATTAATTAATATTACAGTTTGATCTGTTCGGTCTTGAGGATTTGGTAAAACTGTACAGACAAAGTTTTATAAAATTTGTATATATAGCTAGCTACAAGAAAACCCATTATTAAATTGTTTGTTATCTATAGATACTGTCCATATTCTTTGATCTTACCACGAATTTGTCGTAAATGACGAGGTTGACTCGCTAGCGAAAGAATGCGAGGAAATATGTCGATTGGTTGATTGGTGGTCAAGCTTTTATCACTTTGAAAAATTTGTGTTATATCAAAATTTGATTATTTATGCGCTACGCTTACAATCAACATTTATGAGCGATATCAACAACACTTTATATAAATTTTCTAAATGTGTGCTTTGAAAGTGAAATTATATCACGTATTAGGTGCGTATATAATTTCTCTTTACTGTTTGATAGAAGTATCATTATTAATAATGGTCCATTATGTAAAAAAGATATTCGATAAGCAGCTATCTTCAAATATAATTATTTTAAAGAATATTTAGCAAAATCTTATATAATAAATTATAGATTTTTGTTTTTTTTTTTGATTAAAGAAAATTTTACTGTTTACACAGAAAAAATTATATGAACCATTTTTTTAATACATATATTTATATATATATATATATATTAAATATTAAATATTAAATATTAAATATTAAATAATAATAATACTAATAAATAAATAATAATACTAATTTATTTGAAAAAAAATTAAAAAAAAAACATCTTAAAGAATTATAAATCTTGGAAGTAGTGAAGAATTATATAATTCATTTTCACAAATGATTGGTTTTGTAATTTTTAAAAATGAATGTGAAGGATTGTGATCATTTGAATACATTTCACAATGAGCACATATATCGAAATTTGTGCAATGTCCACACTAATTATTATTGTATTATTGTCATTTTATTATTATCATTATTATTATATGAATTGTACCAAAAAGAAAAAAATTATTACTACTAATATCATTATTTATTTATTTATTAATCAATTAATTAACAATCATTAAAATTTTACCTTGTATCTAATTCCACAAATTGGATTTTTACCACATAAATCACATTTTACCGATGTATGCTTTGGAACTCCTAATTGTAGATTGATAATGATTTATATATTCTCTCACGTACATGCACACATACACACATATATATATATATATATTTAAGGAAAAATTTCTTTACCTGTGGTTCTAAATCTAAATTCTGGAAGTAATTGTATATCTGATTCCATTTCAATAGAAACAGGTCGTTTGATCTTTATAAAAATGTGGTTTGGATTATGAAATGTGCCTTCGCATAAACTACACAAATCAAAATCTGGGCAATGCCCACACTTTTTTAAAAAATATATATGATTAAATTTAATTAGATCAAGTCTAAAATTTAAGTAATAATAATAACAATATACTTTATAGCGCGTTCCTTTGATTCTGCATCCACATGAATCACATACGCAAGATCCATGACTTGTTTCACCTAAAGGGAAAAAAAACAAATAGTAATAATTAATGATATAATATAATAATATAGTGATCTATCTTAAGATTCTTATTATTTTTTTATTACACTACCATAAGTAATATTAGGAATAACTCCCATTGTTTCTTGTAACCGTTTAAGTTCTTCACTCAACATATAATTTAAACTTAAAGCATCCTCTCTTTCTTGATAATAATTTACACATTTAAGTTGCAACTTGGTATTTTCATTTTTTAAAGTTTTAATTTCTATATCATCCACGTTTCCCGTCCCTTGTAACTCTAATATACGTTCTTTTAAAGCGATAGTTAATGATTTTAATCCATCCTTTTCTATTTCAAATTTAAGTAAATCAGCTTTTAGTTGTCTGATTTCTGCCTCCTATATTAATTATTTTAAATAAATTTAGATAATGAAGATGATTTTATCATTAATTTCTCTTAAATTTTATATATTTCACCTGATTTCTGAATCTATCTTCAAAATCCATTAATAAGAAAATTAAAATTTTGTGAAATGGGGCATGCTGCAACAAAACTAGTACTAGCACTAGGCAAAATGAAAAACAAAAAGATTACAGGGATTTTACTTTTCAATTATTTTTGTTTTATGTCACACTGCATGCAGATCCGCGCACAAAAGTTTCTTGCGAAAATTTCCTGAAATGGATATAATAAAATTTAAAGTGATCGTTGAAATAAATAAATATTTGCCGATATAGTTGTAGCTTTTGCGCAACGATGCGGATCATCTATACTTAAAAGTTGAAACGTCAAGTTAGATTTTTGATAAGGTTTGTGTTACTTTGTTTTTAACAAATCCAAATTGGGAATTGATTTTCTTTTAATTAAAACTTATTAAATAAATTACGTAATATGATAAACAACAACAATAGGATAGATTAACGATTATTTTTTATTGTTATTTAGGTAGTGTTAATGGGTAAAAAGTAAATTAATTATCTCTTAAACGGTCAAAGTATTCTTTAATGGTAACGCGAAATGATTTTTTGATCACGATCTTGCATTCTTATTGGCCAATTTAACGATCTGCAAAGTAAAAATAGTCAATCGACCAACTTTTAAGGAAGATTTTATGAAAACCACAAGGACAACAACCGAATTTTTATTCACATATCAAACAGCTGAATCCCAAAGATCATTTTCGTATTAGGAAGTAATACCTTCAGAAAAAGTTTTTTATAACAGAAAAAAAATTTCGGCTATCAATAGCCGAAAAACCGTTTAAGGGATAGTAAAAAAATAAATAAATGAATGACTAGTGTGAGTATAATTGCCGCCCATAGTCCAATCCCAAATAGGTAAAAACTACTTGGGGTTTTGAGGTGTAAAGTCCCCAAATCCCAAATCCCTGAATTGTCATGAATATATATAGTACAAATTTGGAAATTTTTACAAGACACATTCAAATTCGTATCTAATGCGTCGTCACTCAATTCATGGAATTCAAGGGTTTGGGATTTGGAACTTTTTTTGGGACTTGGCCTTTTGAGTTTGGGAGGCAAGTATAGTCTAAACTCTTTATACCGAACCTCTCTATAACGAACACTAAGTAAAATCCTTCTATAATGGATTTTTCCTTTTGTCTCCGGTTCGATTTTTTATAATTAATCTCTCTCCATAACAAAAGCAGAAAAATTACATATAGGGACAGGGGATTCGGTGTAGAGAGCTTAGATTGTATAAGTGTGAAGCCGGTTGTTTTTTTTTCATTTACAGTCTATATACAGTACATGGTCAAAAGTTTCGGAACACCTGATTTTGTTAATTGCGCAAAAATTTACATAATAAACATATGTGAAATTTATATTATTTGTATCTTAGGTTCTTGTGAACGTACATGCAAAGTTTTATACCTCTAGGTTTTATAGAACTCGAATGAATAAATAAAAAAAGGAACTTCGGTTAAATTTTGGTGATCAAAAATTTTTGACAACGTTTTTTAGAAATTGCTCAAAAATCTGTATGTTAATATGTTTTGAAAACTTTATATATGAAAACCCAAATATTGCTGATTTTGATAATATATTTTTTATTACATTGTTTAAGATCTTTTTTTTTAAAAAAAAAGATCTAAAAAATTTTCAAATTTTAAATTTCAAAAAAATGTCTAATTTAACTGAAGCTCAACGTGGACAAATAGTTGGTCTTTATAAAAGTGGCACCTCATATAGGAATATTTCCAAAACACTTGGCTTTACAACTACAACAGTATTTCGAACAGTGAAGAATTTTCAAGAAAGAGATAGTATGGCGAATTTGCCAAAAAGTGGTCGCCCGAAAATTTTGAATAATGACCATCGACAAGTGCTAAAAAATATTGTTAAACATAATAACCGTAAATCAGCTGAACAAATCAAGAACCATTTTAATAAGAAAACTGGCTTACAGGTTTCTATAGAAACTATTAGAAGAAGTTTGCATGAAATTGGTATTTTTTCTCGTGGTTTTTGATTAATAAAATAAAAAATTTCACTTCGTGATCGTCAAAGAAAAAATTTTAATCGAAATTCTTATTTATTTATTTATTCGAATTCTATAAAACCTAGAGGTATAAAACTTTGCAGGTATGCTCACAAGAACCTAAAATATGAATAATATAAATTTCATATATGCTTGTTATGTAAATTTTTGCGCAATTAACAAAACCGGGTGTTCCGAAACTTTTGACCAAGTACTGTATTTATCACGTTATTTTTGTGGTGTAATCAGACTAGAATTGCTTTATGTTATTTTGACTAGTGCTAATGTGGAATCAAAATTTTTCATTTACCATATTATTAAATTGATGTATATAGTGCAATCGACAGACTAAGAATTGTCATCCATATCATTTTGACTAACGTGAAGCGAGTTTTTTTTTCATTTACATTTACCACATTATTTTTTGTGTTCCAGATTATTTTAACTAACGTGGAGCCGGCATCATCATCGCCTTTTTCAATGCCTCCCTTATTTTTGACAATGTGGCTCATTGAAAAGGAACTTGTGCCAAATATTTTGGCTTCAATTCTTAGCAACACCCTGGTATTAAATAACTTAAAAATCATCATCATCACCACCAACACAAATTAGCGTAATAGTTATAGGGTTAATGATAATATATCAATTACTCATATCAGCCGATTTGGTTTTTTGGGCCTTTTTTCAAACCTTATGTCTTATTGTGTCTCGATGTTAAACACGAGT